GGCAGGGAAACAGCCCAATGAACATCACCGCAGAGGAGCCAATCAGCTAGATGTTGCTGGGGCCGCTGTGAGCCAATCATCAGCTGGCAGCTGGAAGTTTGCTGGCAGCTGGAAGTTTGCTGGGGCCCCTTTGGCTGTGGCTCTCAACAGGATTATATTTGAGAAAAATGTGAGAGAATTCCTTATTGATCTCAGAGCAAGAAAAGAGTTTCTCATTAATTCAAACGCTCTTAACTTTAGCTGCAGTTTTTAGAATGCTCTAGATACAACACAASGAGCAAAGACAAAAAAGTGACTAAYAGGAGGAAAATACTTTCCAGTTACACCACAAAGCATACATCTCCCTAGTATATAAAAGACCAAAAAATGCAATAGAAAAATGAGCAAATTGCCCTTAAGCATATGAAAAATGTTCACATATACTCATAATATAAAATCTATTATGTACATTTTAAATTAAATGTAAGTTAAAGCTACATTCAGAAATTCAAAATCTTGACAATATAATCTATTTTTATAAGGCTGAGCAAAAAACAAATTCTATCATATTTCTCTGACAAATTGGAAAATGATACAGACTTTATGGAGGGCAATCATGCAAAGCCAGAATCACTTGTGGTTTTCTTTACCCAGCAATCTCATACTTCTGAGAGTTTGTGCCAAAGATAAACCTTCGTAAATACTAAACATTGTATGATGGCAGCATCATTTGCCATAACAAAATATTGGATACAATCCAAATGTCCATCAATAGAGAACTGATTGAATAAACATCAGTACTTGTACCYATTCAACAGAGTTACACAACTAAGAAATAAAAAAATTTCCATAAATTGATATGGAATGATTTCCAAGATACATCACATTGTAAGGAAAGGAAAATGAAGGTATAGAACAATGTWTGCATGATGTCATCATCTGCGAAAGAAAGAAAGTGAAGAATATACATTACTCCTTGTTAATTTTTATAAGATGAAGCAAGAAAAGAGAGAGATGAAAACAGTCATTTACGAAGGGAGTGGGAAGACCATGTTGGAGATACAGGAGTCTGGCTTCTCTGATTATTTCTTTTAATATACTTCTAACCTTTGAATCATATACATGTTTTAAATATTCAAAAAATAAAACAGAATATGCAAAGTATAAATGTTTTAACCTAAAACATAAATGTATAYTTATTTGCTAATATTTTGAGCTAGGATCAAGCCTTCCTTATAAGACCTTCTAAGATCTGTTAGAATTTAACATAGTTTTCTTAGTTAAACCACACCCACAATTCACTCTTAAGAACTCTAGCTTCTGTTTTGTAAAGTGAATTTAGAAATACATAAAAAGATAACTACAAAATAATCTATAAGCAGTATCCTGTTTTTTTCTATACTTTGTAAGTTTTTCTCAGAGCTTTTAAGGTTATCCGACTCACATATTTAATCAGCAATTTTTTTTAGTAATTTGCATTCAGCCTAATTTTCACAGACATAAATTGGCATGAACAAGTTTGAGAACAAATGAAACTAACTCTTAAAGGGCATACAACTCAAGCAGCAAGAGACGTACAGGAGTCTGCTAGCCATAAGCACTCAGCATTCCAATGCCTAGCAACAGTCTTTATTTCATAGAGGGATAGGAGTAATTAATGATTTGACAAATGACTTACATAATGCTTATAGAGAATTTACTAGAAAAAAAAGTAGATAAAATGTATTAAATATTTACTAATATGYCAAACATTCATCAAAGACTATCAGCTCCAAGGTGGGTATTATTACTATCTCCATTTTACAAATAAGGAAAGAGCATCTTGAGAGAGGTTGAGTATTGATCCAAGGTATATGTGATGAGGCCAATAGTCAAATTATGGMAATCTGACCCTAAACCTCACAAACTTGGCCACTGTATGATAACTTATTTTTAAGGCCATGGTAGATGATTGGTAAGACCTGCTAAGAGAATCTTCCCAGACACATTTTAGAACACAGAACTTTTGGCCCATTGATTGTCCATAGCCCATTATTATCCATTTATTAAGTATATTTGTGAAAAGAAAAAATACACTATCTAGACAGTTCCCCTCTACTCACTATATAGTGTTTTAAAAGTACACTCCCCGATAGGCCTTCTTCATTCTAACAAAAATTTCAAAAATTTCAATTTTACCTCTCCGGAATTGCTTACCAAAGTGAACGTTATATGTTTTTTTTTTTTTTTCTTTTTTTCTTTTTTTAGTACTGGGGATTGAACTCAGGGGCACTCAACTACTGAGCCACATCCCCAGCCCCTATTTTTCATATTTTATTTAAAGACAGGGTCTCACTGAGTTACTTAGTGCCTTGCTTTGGAACTCACAATCCTCCTGTCTCAACCTCCCAAGCCACAGGCATTACAGGCTCACACCACAGCACCTGACTTGTATCTGTTCTTAACTGATAAAAATAATTAATTATCAAGCTCTTGCTAGAAAATATGGCCTCAAACTCTACTTTACAATTCTTATCAAAATCTTTGTTACACTAATGGAAGATGGTATAATATAAATAAACTTAAAATTCCTTTCTGCATTTATTATAGAGATTTATCAATACTRTGAGTCCCAAAGTATTATTTTAGGACTAAATTTCTCTTAGGCAATTTTATGCATTTTACTTTATTAATATGGAGACTAATCAAGTTTCTCTCCTTTWGTTGTTAGAAAGTTCAGAACCAAATTTGACACGAGTATATGATGTAACAGCATGCCTCTTTAACTCTTCATGAGTTTTGTATTATGTTAATCTTTAATTTTCTGATATCCCTTGTTTTTTGCTTTTCTTTTACATGTTGTAAAATAAATTATTTTTTATAAACTATCTCAAATMCCTTTTTAAACAGGTTGGAGAAAATAAACTAAAAGGTCACTGAAGATTTAGCTTATTTAAAACAATTCTCTCCTTGCCTTTTCTTTGCTATTCCCACCACTACTAACCTGATCAAGGAAAACAGACAAGATGTTCCCTAAGTGTTTTTTGATGCTCCAAGGTTTTACTWTTTTTCCTTCCAATTTGCACAAATATAAAAGTTAAAAAGGCAGAACTTACCAGATAGACAATATGAAGATCATTCTCTAAAACAAAACCCTTCATTGCTCTTTGGAGGTCAGCAAAAATATCTAAGGTATCAGTTGGAGAAAGTGATGAAGAAAGGGTAGCAGAACCAAGATGTGTTGGACGATATACCTTTCCTGGTTTGGGAGTGAAGAAACACAGGAGCAAATGTTAAAAATAATATAAAATAAAACAAAACATTGTCTTTCTATATTCCTGTATTAACCTTCGCAGCTCTCATCAATTTTACAAACAGAATCTTGCCTAACATGCAGAAATTTATAAGCAAGATTTTCAGAAAAGTGAGTAGAAGATGAAACAGTGAATAAATTTTAACTGAGAACTCATATTTACCTTCTGTTCCATCACTGTCTTCTGTAATCTGGATGAATTCATTTTCTAGAAGCCACATCACACAGGCCTCGATTGCTCCAAGTTGGACAGAATCTTGATTTCTCTGAATTCCCTGCCTCCCTTCTTTAATAGTCGCAGCCAAAAATGTACAAGAAGCATACATCTGCATATCTTTTGATGTACTTGCCACACCACCAACTATTATCTGATAGAAAATGTTTAAAAACTTCTGTAAATTTTTTATAAGATATATAGGCCTTCGTAATATAAGAGATTTTATTCTCTTAAAATAGTTTCAGAATCTTAGATACTCTTTATTAACTCTCTTCAATTATCACACACTGCAAATATAGATAGTACCTGCTAACAACATGAAAAGTTTTCCCTCAAAGTAGGTAGACATAGTATTTGCTTATAAACAAAAATAAATGAATCATTATCCATTTGAAATTTCAGAACTAACAATACACATGAAGGAGGTAGTGATAGTTCAAGGCCATGAACCAAATCAAATGTTTTCATCCTTCCTCTAAGGCACATAGGAGAAATGCTACTATTGAATACTTCCYACACAGAAAGGTGGGAATAGGTGCAAGAAAACATGAAGTCACTTATTGCAGATATTATTTTACCCATAGCTACTTTATTATATATACAAATTTGTCTCTTGCCTTCTTTTACTTTTTATTGGACACATATCATCACAGAGCTTTTTAATGACCACAAAGCATCTTTTGCCATAAAATTCGTATTAATGGTATCTTGGTTTTTTCCATTTTTTTGTTATTAACTAATAGTGCTATAAAAATATTTTTTACATTTAATTTAATATAATTTCACAAATATATTCCTGGATAAAATTCCTAGATGTGGAACTGCTAGGCAAATGGGTATATGTAGTTTCAATTTTAGCAGGTAAGGCCAAATTGCTCTCCAAAAAAGTTTCAGCAATGTATCAATGTGTCCACTTTGGATATCCTTCCTGACTCTATGTTAYCAAGTATTTTCTTTTTTTCCCCAAACTGATTAGAAAAGAATTCACATAGAGGCACCAATATCACTAGTACTGGTGCTGAAAGCAACACCAAGGCATGCTGATACAAGCACAAAAAACATGTCTGAATCAAACTTGAAATGCTCAACAGGGGGTTACCTTTGAGGAATCTGAGCAAAAAAAGGTTTTATTTTTCTGTATTATTGTACAGAATTTGCTGTACTATTGTTGAATATTGTTGAGATTTTTCTGTATTATTGTAAACTTCTAATCATATATAGTTGTACCATAATTTTATTTTAGTGTCATAAGRTATGATCGAGATGGAGGAACTGTGTACATTTTTTGTTACCTTTAACTTCAAAAAACAATAAAGACTATCTAAAAAGTGAAAAGAACCATCTGGCATTTAGTTTTTAATTATTATTTTGAAGTGAATTGATAGAGCACTAGCTAAAACACCTACAAATTCAGATTTGGGAAGGCTAAAAATATAAAATAATTTAAAAAGAGAAAGAGAGACAAGATTTTTCATATATTAGCACAGAGGYACATGCCTRTATTCCCAGCTATTCAAGAGGCTGAGGCAGGAGGGCATCCCTGAGTTCAGTTCCTCATACAACAACAACAAAAAGATTTTCACATACTAAAATGCTACCATGTTAACATAGGTGTAAAAGAGCCAAGTGGTAGTTTTTTGAACCCTGTCTTACCTCCAGAATAGCTCGTATCATACTGGCAGTTACTTCTTCTCCTTCTCGTCTTTGCAGACAGCTGCGAACAGGTTTTAGAGATCCCTGAAGTAGAGCTATGCCCTTTGATTTCTCAGAATTCTTACAAACTAAGATACTCTCACCTATAAACAAAAACCATAGGTTGTCAAAACCCCAACACATTTCCATAAGATACCTGATAAAGAGAACTTAATTGGTCTTAGTTGTTTAAAAAGAGGTAAAAGATGATAATGGTTGTTACAGTCTTAGCATTATATCTAATGCTTTTACTTCTTTAACTTTGGATACAAGGAAACCATAATATGCAACCCTAAAATTTGTTACTTGGGCATAAAGATTATTTTGAGCTAAAGGCAATCAGAAAACAGAGAAAATGCTTTGTCCTCTCCCAGTCTGCCTAAAGCAACACATAAATTTCCCTTTGTRAATATGTTTCGTCTCTCCTCACCCATACCAAAAGAACCCTTATCATAGGAGACAGAAGGTCCTTTTTTTTTTATTGTTTAGCTGTCAATGGATCTTTATTTTATTTATTTATATGTGGTWCTGAGAATCGAACCCAGTGCCCCACACATGCTAGGCAAGCACTCTGAACCACAACCCCAACCAAGAAGGTCCTTTTTGAGACAGGTCTGTACAAACAAATATTACTTATATAAACTTCTGCCATTAGTTTCCTATATATATAATCTTCTCCTGATTTAGTGTCCCAAGAAGATCAAACACCTTTTCCTTTGTCTTTTCACTTGTCCACAATTTGTGGAGAAATATCATGTAAACTATAAGACCCTAGGTCTAACAGCCTTGCAGGATTTTCATTTCCATGAAAGCTTCCATGCACATAAAAATTAAATTATCAATATCAAATGAAGTTTGCATGCCTTTTCTCCAGGTAATCCATTATCAATTATTTAGCAGGCCCCAGCTGTAGAACCTAACTTAATACAGAAATAGCTCTTTTCCTTCAGCTAAAGGACCAACCATTATTGTTAGTAATTATTAGGTAATAGAGATACTTTAAAAACTATAAAGTAAAATTCAAATACAAATTACTAGTCACAGTGAATACAAATAAATTCAAAAACACTTATAAATAAATATCTTAAAAAGTCACATTATAATATTTAATCTAAATGCTTTAGGTTATTGTGATAATTGAGTAAAGAATTATTTTAAAAACTGAATCCAATGATATGGGAAAAGCAACAGTTAAATAAGATGTTCAATAAGCAAAATGAAGGGCATGAGTGTGAATTTTTTATTGATTTTTTAAAAAATAAATGACAGTGGAATGCATTACAATTTTTATTACATATATACAGCACAATTTTTCATATCTCTGGTTGTATATAACATATGTTGACACCAATTCATGTCTTCATACATGTACTTTGGATAATGATGTCTRTCACATTCCACCATCCTTGCCAACCCCCGCCCCCTCCCTTTCCTTCCCTCCCCTCTGCCCTATCTAGACTTTGTCTAWTCCTCCTATGTTCCCCCTCCCTACCCCACTATGAATCAGCCTCCTTATATCAGAGAAAACATTCAGCATTTGTTTTTTGGGGCTTGACTAACTTCACTTAGCATTATCTTCTCCAATGCTATTCATTTACCTGCAAATGCCATGATTTTATTCTCTTTTATTGCTGAATAAAATTCCATGTGTATATTCATCTACTGAACACCATCTAGGTTGGCTCCACAGTTTAGCTATTGTGAATTGTGCTGCTATAAACATTGATGTGGCTGTGTCCCTGTAGTATGCTGATTTAAAGTCCTTTGGGTATAGACMGAGGAGAGGGATAGCTGGGTCAAATGGTGGTTCCATTCCCAGATTTCCAAGGAATCTCCATACTGCTTTCCATATTGGCTGCACCAATTTGCAGTCCCACCAGCAATATATGAGTGTACCTTTTTCCCCCACATCCTCGCCAACACTTATTGTTGTTTGTCTTAATAATAGCTGCCATTCTGATTGGAGTAAGATAATATCTTAGAATAGTTTTGATTTGCATTTCTCTGATTGCTAGAGATGATGAACATTTTTTCATATATTTGTTGATTGACTGTTTATCCTCTAAATAAAACCAGCATTGTGATACTGTATCCAAACCATACCAGGCAGAAAAAGTACAGATGTACAGATGATGCTTTCCTATCACTGACTGCCAAGTTGAGAATGACAGGATAAAATGAAAGGACTATAAACTGGATAATCATTGACTACTTATCTAGACATAATTACAAAAAGAAAGGTGCCATTATGAAAAAAAAAAAAAAAGACACAACAGGTGGAATAGGAGCTCCCAGGTTTCACTACCAACCCATTCCCTCTCCCCAGAAAGGATCCTTTGTGAAGACCTCCAAACTTGAAAATAAACCTGAGGTATCTACATGACCACAGAATCCTACCCTGTCAGCCTCCCTCCCTCTACCCCAGCAAAACACACACACACACACACACACACACACACACACACAACTAAGATAAATGACTTCATTTTGACTACATCAGAGCACAGTGTCCAAAGGTCATCACAGTGCCAAAGGAGAGGCATCCCTAGGACTCATGGTTTCTATAGTAGGAAAAGAGAATCAGAAGCAGACATGTAGCTTCCTAGCATTCCACTATAATCCCAAGAAGCCCACCTACACCYAGATCACCTAGGGTCAGGTAGAAACAAAACAGGAGGTGAGCTCACAGTGACCAGCAGGCACGTCTTGGTGGAAGCTCTGTGTACCTGCCAGCAGGGGTACCTGCCTAGAAATACCAGCCAACAACATTACTGTGCACAACAGCAATGCTTGCTATGAACTGGTCACTCAGAAGTAGTGTAGGAAGTTCYGATTGGCTTGGATCCCTGGATAGCCAGCTTCCAGGTGCCGCAGTCTGACTGGGCACAAATAACCGAGCTGCCAAAAAGCCTTGTAGGTTCAAACAGCAACTCTTTATTCCCGAACTCTCACCAGCACTCTACACACACTTCCCGGGAACACACTCCCTCCACCAGGCTCCTCGCGCCAATTCTCCCAGAACCCCAGGAGAACTCAATGGGAACTCCAAAGTAGGGAACTCCAAAATAGCAGGCACAGGATCTGCCCTAATCCCAGAGCCGCCCTAATCCTGGAGCAGGGTCACCTTTCAACCATTCCCTCTAACAAAATGCCAGGCRTCATTCTGACTAAACTGTGGCTCTCAACATCCAGGTCTAACCCCAATGCCAGATCCAAGACTCTGTACAGGGAGAGAGAGGACCACCACAGCACATTTCAGCAAAGAGCAAGGACTAGTTCTGCCACACCTGGAACTTTTAACAGTGCTCTGTGAAACACAACTCAAGGTCCTATCTAGGCAGGAAGACAAACATTGACTATGCACTTCTTAGCATAGCAGCTGKTCCCATCCAGACTGAGCAGCAACTCTGCTTAACATCAAGGTCCAGCCTGCAAGACTGGCCTCTAAAGATCTCAAATTTTGGTACCATCTGGCCAGGAAATACACCCTGGGACTCATTCCAATCATAGTCCATTGCAATGTCCAACCAGCAACTCTCCCTAATTACAGAGTTCAGACAGTTCTGACTCAAAAGCAAAGCTGAGTCAGTAGCCCCACTTGAAATTAAATCAACAGGCAGAAACCCAAAAGCAGGCTCTGATTACCTGKGTTCACTAGCAGCTGGCTCACACAGAATCATAGGTCACACTAATTAGCAAGGGTCTATCCCTTCTGAAGAACACCTATAAAGAAGGGGCTGTTTCCATACAAGTTTTAAAGTTATCCTAGAGCTGTGGAGGAGCAGCTAGGTGGACTAGAGCACTGGCCCTGGCCACATGAAGCCTGCCATACCCTCTGGGGCCTGAGGCTAGGTAAGCCAGGGGTGCTGGCTGACCTTTCGTACCTGGCCTGGGCCCAGTGCAGATGCCTGCTCCACACAGTGCCACAGCCAGACACCCAAGCATGCACAATCAGACAACCTCAATCTCCTGCTTCCCCAAAAGCTGTAGAAAAACAGAACTTTGGATAGAAGGAAGTCAGAATATGCTACCCCCAAATTTGCTACTTGAGCATAAAGATTATTTTGAGCTAAAGGCAATCAGAAAAYAACACAGAAGTGGAACAAACTTGAATGGAAGTTCAGGCTCAAGGTTTAACCAATAGTGTTAGTTCTTTTCCAAATTCTGATCAGCATAAGTTTGAACCAACAGTGTGAACCCTAGTGCTACATAAACCTCTAGATTAGCACACTCAGGCAGTAATCCCTATGGGGTTCCCCTCTTGCCCCTGCAGGAGTTCTGTTTCTATTCATTCTTAAATCAATCCTACTCCTTTCACTCTGGCCTTCCACTGTCATGTGAATTTTATTCTTCAGATTTGCAAGACAAAATCCTTGCTGCTAGAGCTGCTAGAGCCTAGCACCCATTTAGAGCTGCAATAACTGAAAGCAGCAACACACCACTCAATGATAGTGGAGGAGAATCCAGCTTTGCCTTCAGAGCTGATGCCAATATGCATACCCTGTTGTGATTAGCTGTTAAAACTAAAAGGGGCTTTCTTGGCTGCAGAGGCCTGCAGCTTACACAGACTCCACATACCAAAAGAAGTAGAGAAGTGAGTTTTATCTCAAAATCTGGTTTCAGTATGGACACCAGGACAAGAACATAGAATTACAAAGAATCAGCAAATCATACTTCCAAAAGAAAATAAAGCTCTAACAATGGACCCTGAAGAAATGGAGAAGTATGAAATAATAGACAAAGAATCCAAAATATTTTTTTAAGAAAGACCATGAACTGCAAGATTACAGAGATAAAAATTAAATGAAATTTGGAAAACAGTACATGAACAAAATGAGAAGTTTGACAAAGAAATAAAAAAATAGAAAGAAATATAAATTCTAGAGATGAAAAATATAATGACTGAATTGCAGAATACAATAGAAAACATAGCCATACAAAAACCATATGATTCAGCAATCCCACTTCTAGGTTTGTATGCCAAAAATTTGAAATCAGTGTATCAAGAGATACTTGCATCCCTGTGTTTTCTGCAACACTATTTACAATAACCAAGTTATGGAATGAACATAAGTGCCCATCAATGGATAAAAAGATAAAGATA